ACCTGGAGCCCAGGTGAGTGAATGCTTGTGAGCTCCGGAGAGCTGGAGCCCAGGTGAGTGAATGCTTGTGAGCTCTGGAGACCTGGAGCCCAGGTAGTGCTCTACAGGTCTTGACTGTCCACTCTCCTACTGCTACAAAAACAATACATCTTCCAGGTAACCACCGCAAGTCTAAAAATTAACTAAAACCCTCTAGCAAACTATTAAGTGTGTTTCACAGTCTCTACTATAAAACTACTACTCTCTATTTTGCAGGGATGTACAGGGAATCGAGTGGGTTCCTCCCAGCTGTGTGCTGTAGAGCAAACCCTCCATTCAGTTCTACACTGAAACGTTGGAAAAAAACGGGGTGACAATTCGACCGTGACATCAAACGAAGCTGTTAACTCCAGCGTTTCTCTTGGGCTTAGAAATCGCAGCTGGTCACGAGGAGCTGTTTTTGAAGATTGTCTTGAATTATACATTTGGCCTTTAATCACCAGGAGAAAGAGAGAAGACTCAAGATTTATGTCTGCTTATTTGTCTGAAGGCCTCAGAAGTGGCCTGTCTTTTCGGGCGGTGCGAGGATAGATGAGTCTGGGGGACGGCTCTGTTAGAGTTGGAAATATCAAAGCTGCTCTGTGGTATGGAAACAATTAAGACAGGAGAAACAGAGGAGCTTGGGGGTGGAGTGGGTGCTTAGTGTTTTGAACAGGAACGCAGGAGCATTAAACCATAACTTCTAAGCTGACTTCTCTTCAAATCGTCCTCTTAGGCAACCTGGATTAGTGAGGATGTTAATTACTAGAGGATGGACTAGAGGGAGCCTGTCTTCAGGGCCCCTGGTAACAGAATGGGGCTCTCAGACTGAAGTCTGGCTATTCATCTCTGCGGGTGACTTGTCCTCAAAACCGAAAGTCGTAAACGAGCCTGTTTCATCTCGAGCCTGTTTCTTCCTGTTCCTTTTTCCCCCCCACTTTCTTGTGGAACCTGTGGGTGTGAGTGAAAAGATGGATTATTAGCAAGCACAGAGACAGTGCGCGCACGCCAATGAACACCCATTCATTGGCGCTCGAAAGGTATTGTTTATAACGCACCAGAACATCTTGATCTTACCAGGGATCTAATTTATTTCAGAATGATCTTCAAGCTTTAATGATTAATGAGCTGTAGGTGATGCCTTTCAGGTGTTCATGTCATATCCTTCAGTAAAAATGGTTTTGAATGGTTTTGAGAGTGTACCATCCCTTCTTTGTTTAGGCAAGGCCTGTCTGTTCCACTCCTACCAATTATCAGCTCAGTAAATCTCACTGATCTTCTCCTCAGCTCTCTCAGATCGGTCACCTTTGCAGATTGGTATGAATGAGCTGGAATTGGAGCTGCGAGACTTGAGGACTAGTTGAGCACTGTTTGCAAATGCATCAGAACTCCTGCAATGTTTCTGTTAAAAAAATAATCTACTACTTGCAGGCAGCACAGTGCCGAAGTGGTCAGTATTCTGGGGCCCCGGGTCCAATTCCAGACCTGGAGTGCTGTCTGTGTGGAGTTTGTATGTTTTCCCCTGGTTTGCATGGGTTTCCTCTGGGTGCTCCAGTTTCTTCCCACTATCCCAAACCACACTGGCAGGTTAATCGGCTTCTGGGAAAACTGGCCCTGTTGTGTGTGTGTGTGTGTCCTGCGATGGATCGTGGCCTTTCGTATGTTACTTCCTGGGATCGGCTACAACTCCCCCACGACCCTGCAGTGGAAGAAGCAGTTAGAAAATGAATGGACAGACAATCTCATTCTTGCTTCTTTCAAGGCTTTGATTGAAGGATGTCCCAAGATGGGTTTTCTATTTAAGCTTTTGTCCCTCACCAGTACAGGCAGAACTGTCCAGCAGCAGCTCTGCTTAACTAGTCTGGGAGTTGGCGGTTTGTACACAAAGAATCATTGTATTGCTTACCTGGGCATGTCTGGGCAAGCCTGCTCCTTGCTCCGGTCAATGACTGGGCTCTGCTTGTATTCAGTTCAAGGCTGAGCTGCTACATCTCTCTCCTCCTGGTGCAGTCACTTGCCATGTTTCCAAGCAGAGGCGCGGTACAGAAAAGGCCTTTGTGTATCACAGTTCTGAATGGTTCCACTTGGCTATAATGGAGCATCCAACTGGTGCACTGCCCTGCATAGATCTCCCTTTCTTCCGTTTAAAATCCAATAATGGTTCATGGATTACTTGGGCTTACATGTCTTTGCTAAGGGTGTTAAAGTCTTTACATTTCTCTCATCCAGGCATTATCGTCCACCCACGCTAATGTCGGCAGCAAAGCGATTTGTTTGAAAGAGGCTAGTCAGTCTT